GATCTCCTACCCTGCAGGGTGTTTCGAAGGCATTCGTATTACAGACACCTACTATGCGAAATAGACGATCCATAAAGAGTTTATCGGTAGTGGGAAATTTGCGGAAACATTGAGCCGCTTTGATAATTTCCTGGCGATAACCACGATCATTATTAGCCTGCATGGCATTAATTAAAGCACGTTGATCCTCATTGAGAAAGAAGACACGTATGGCGGTTAGAAGACGTAAGGACATGGAGTTTACGGGAGGATAGGAATCATCTTCTTCCTGCTCCGTCTGCTGCTGTGGCTCAGCTAGTTCGGGAGATTTTTCATGATCATCAGCTACCAAACCATTACCATTCGATCCATTCGTGGCATTGTTATGCCTAACATTTCCCTTGCCTTTGACTTTACCATTGCCAACGCCATTGGCCTTGCCATTGCTAGTGCTGGTAATGGTTGTATTGTTGTTTCTGTTGGCATTTATCTGCTTCATATCCATCGGTTGCCAACGTTGAAATAATTGACATTCATTGTGATGTTCTGGCGAATCGGCACATTTATCACACACTGGTAGTGTGCATTTGTTTTTGCATAAAAAATCCTTGACCCCCAATAATTTATGACAACAGACGCAAGTATTTAATATAGAACCTTTACGTGCTGTTGGCCCCACAACCAATGCTCTCTCGCGAAATATAGTTTCGCCCTGTTGTATATCGCGTGTGGCAAATACACCACGTCCTGCCACTTTTGAAGGGCCTATTGTCCAGTTAGGCTCAGGGTCACGTAAATCTGATAAATGCAGGTCAATAAGGCGAGCCAGCTCAGCTGGTGTCGCCATTGTTTACACGTTGTATAAGTATGTATGTAAATCTCTATTTAAGAGAAAGAACAACTGTGTGTGTATGTGTGTTTGTATCTATGTTTAAGTGTGAGTAAGGATACAGTTTTTTGTTTAAAACAAACACTCCGTTAAACAATACAACACCGTGCAACAATACACTATACAAGGATGACAACAAACACGTACAAATAAAAAAAGGCTTCACAATGTTGCAACTTGAAACCGTTATGAAAAAAATAAACATACACACACACTCTAAATTTAAAGGTTTATTAAATTCTGTTTATTTTTTGTTAATATTTTCTTTCTTTTTTTTAATATTTTTTATTTAGCCTTTTTTTCAGAAAAACCGCACCGTTCATTGCGAGTTGCAACAGATAACTAAAGCGGCCCAAAGTACTTGTTCAACAATTGTCTGGCCTCTGGTACAAAAACGCTTGTATTTCACTATGATTTTTGTTTCTTTTCATTTTTAATTTTTTTACTTTTTTACTCATAAATATGTGTGTTTTAGCTCAAGTGCAGAAAAATTACGCGTGAAAAACCGAAAGAAAATGCCCAAAAACCCAACAACATTACAAAAAAAAACAACCACAATATATTTTTTTTTGTATTCTCGTCTAAGAACTATTACCGCACAACGTGTTTGCTTTACTTTATTTCTTGAGGAAAAAAGAAAATATTGTAAGAACAAAATCTTAGAGAAAATAGCGCTAAGACTCACAGACACACACATACTTATTTAGAAAAAAATTTCGAATAAAATATGATTTTCCAATGTTTAGAAAATTGGCAGCAGCAGTGGCAGCGAGTTGTGGCTAAGAAGCACAAACATTGCTATTGCACAATGGGTTTAAATAATAAAGAAACAAATTTAACAGTTCAAGAGATATGTTTACTAGTCTATAGACTAATCTATTAACTAGTCTGTGACTTACATACCGACTAGTGGACTAGTCCATGAACAAATCTATTGACTAACCTGTGGACTAGTACATTAATAAGTCTATGGACTAACCAATTGTATACTTTATAATCGATGACGGTATACCAGCCCACTAGTACATTAATAAGTCTATGGACTAACCAATTGTATACTTTATAATCGATGACGGTATACCAGCCCGCTGATTAGTCTGTGGACTAATCTATGGACAAGTCTATAAACTTGCTTACCGACTAGTCTATGGACTTGTCTACCGACTACTTTATAAACTAGTCAGTGGACTAGTCGCTATACGATCGGAGGTCGTGGGTTCGATTCCCACCAGAGACACTAGTAAAGAAGCGCCTGAAGGTCCCGGTTTATTTCTTCGGATTTGATGTAACACACATTCTCCTTTTAAACTAACTTGCTAACTAAAATTGACTTACATATCTATTGAATAATCTGTGAACGAGCCCATTAACTGATTTATAGACTCCTTGCATATATCTGGTACGAACATTATTTAATGGATTAAGAATTTTGAATCCATTTGGTGATGCTTAATCAGATTCGTGGGGCAATAGTTGCCTTAATTTAGAAAGTAAAAAATCTCCCCCCTAAAATGTTGGTACCTCAACCCATTGTGTATTCATACGTGTTTGTGTCTCTTTGCACCCTTTATAATTGGTTCAAAATGCATGAATGTGTAATTGTAGACTGCTTAAAGATTGTTATAAAAATTCTGCTGCTAAGCTCTTTTTAGCCAATGCTAACTGAGCCAACATGTTGTTGTTATGCCTACTATGTTCGGGTTCTTGTCTAGACTAATTTATTGAAGGCAACAGCAACAACTACATAAAGAAAATAAATTAGCAAAGAGTAAAACGTCACAGCGGAAAACTCATACATCATGATAGACAGGTCTGCATGTGTGCATGCCAATGAGAATATGGGTGATTCCATAGAAGACTTTATTTAAAAAAAAAAACTTAACATTTCTCTAACGAATCAAAAAAGTAAAAAACATTTAATATAAAGCTGTAAATTAATAATTTCATATTAAATTTATCATATGCATTTTTGTATATGAAAGCTGTATATTGTGAAAACGCAGTGTTTTATCTTTAAACAACAAGGTTCGTTTTTTCCAAAACTTTAGTTTTTAATATCTTTACTCTAAGATTAAACTCTTCATATTTGCAAATACCCCCTTATATCTGTTCATATCAATTATCCTAATAAGCGTATTCATTATCTTTTGTAAAATGCTTTCAACAACTTTTCATTGCCATTTATTGTTATTTCATTGCAATGAACTTGTTAATTAAATTTCTTCATTTATTATTTATTTTTTTACTAAAATTTCAATTTGTTGGTGTCAGTTTATTTTAATAAATTTCTTTTTCATTACATTGTTGCAGAGTACAATACATCTGTATACAAACTCGCTTACAAATTATTCATTAAAATTCAAAAATGTTATTGCACACATCATTAGATAGTTTTACACTTAAAATTGCTTTTAATTGCAAGGTATTTTGTTAATAAAGATGGTTGGTTAAATTTTTAAGAAGAAAATTGTATTTTTTAGTGGAAAACAATAAATTCTTACACTTAGGGAGAATGGAGAGAAATTTGATATTATTATTGAACTAACTAACTAACTAACTAACTACTAACTAACTAACTAACTAACTAACTAACTAACTAACTAACTAACTAACTAACTAACTAACTAACTAACTAACTACTAACTAACTACTAACTAACTAACTAACTAACTAACTAACTACTAACTAACTAACTAACTAACTAACTAACTAACTAACTAACTAACTAACTAACTAACTAACTAACTACTAACTAACTACTACTAACTAACTAACTAACTAACTAACTAACTAACTAACTAACTAACTAACTAACTAACTAACTAACTAACTACTAACTAACTAACTAACTACTAACTAACTACTAACTAACTAACTAACTAACTAACTACTAACTAACTAACTAACTACTAACTAACTAACTAACTAACTAACTAACTAACTACTAACTAACTAACTACTAACTAACTAACTAACTAACTAACTAACTAACTAACTAACTAACTAACTAACTAACTAACTACTAACTAACTAACTAACTAACTAACTAACTACTAACTAACTAACTAACTAACTAACTAACTAACTACTAACTAACTAACTAACTAACTAACTAACTACTAACTAACTACTACTAACTAACTAACTAACTAACTAACTAACTAACTAACTAACTAACTAACTAACTAACTAACTAACTAACTAACTACTAACTAACTAACTAACTAACTAACTAACTAACTAACTAACTAACTAACTACTAACTAACTAACTAACTAACTAACTAACTAACTAACTAACTAACTAACTAACTAACTAACTAACTAACTAACTAACTAACTAACTAACTAACTAACTACCTAACTAACTAACTAACTAACTAACTAACTAACTAACTAACTAACTAACTAACTAACTAACTAACTAACTAACTAACTAACTAACTAACTAACTAACTAACTAACTACTAACTAACTAACTAACTAACTAACTAACTAACTAACTAACTAACTAACTACTAACTAACTAACTAACTAACTAACTAACTAACTAACTAACTAACTAACTAACTAACTAACTAACTAACTAACTAACTAACTAACTAACTAACTAACTAACTAACTAACTAACTAACTAACTAACTAACTAACTAACTAACTAACTAACTAACTAACTAACTAACTAACTAACTAACTAACTAACTAACTAACTAAACTAACTAACTACTAACTAACTAACTAACTAACTAACTAACTAACTAACTAACTAACTAACTAACTAACTAACTAACTAACTAACTAACTAACTAACTAACTAACTACTAACTAACTAACTAACTAACTAACTAACTAACTAACTACTAACTAACTAACTAACTAACTAACTAACTAACTAACTAACTAACTAACTAACTAACTACTAACTAACTAACTAACTAACTAACTAACTAACTAACTAACTACTAACTAACTAACTAACTAACTAACTAACTAACTAACTAACTAACTAACTAACTAACTAACTACTAACTAACTAACTAACTAACTAACTAACTAACTAACTAACTAACTAACTAACTAACTAACTAACTAACTAACTACTAACTAACTAACTAACTAACTAACTAACTAACTAACTAACTAACTAACTTAACTAACTAACTAACTACTAACTAACTACTAACTAACTAACTAACTAACTAACTAACTAACTAACTAACTAACTAACTAACTACTACTAACTAACTAACTAACTAACTAACTAACTAACTAACTAACTAACTAACTAACTAACTAACTAACTAACTAACTAACTAACTAACTAACTAACTAACTAACTAACTAACTAACTAACTAACTAACTAGCTAGCTAGCTAGCTAGCTAGATACCTACATATCCAATAGAAAACTGTTCTCTTTAACAAAAAAAAAATATATCAGAAACACTTTTTGCATACTAAGTGAACGAACGGTAATCAATTACAAAAAATTAATTTCTTATTGATATTGAAAATTTAAAACCTTGTCGAAATGCTATCACTTTGTTCAATTTACAATAATAATGTCTAAATAGTTCTTATTTAAATATCATTAACTTTGTTTATGTTTAATTCATTCATAGAAAAATATTGGCACTTAACCAATTTTTTGAAAAATATATCACATGCTATAAATTTTATCTGCAGAAAGCTTTTCATAACAAAGCTTTTCTTCTCTTTTTTTAACAAATTGATGCTCTTAACATTGTCATTTTTGCAATAAATTTGCTTTATATTTATTTGATGACGGATTCATCAAATTTAAATAGAAAATTTATACATTTTTTTGCCACGCGCCCTTGCAGTCACGTTTACTTGTAGATTTGATGAAATATGTGAATGAAATTTATTTGATAATTTAGATTATAATTGTTTAAATTTACTTTTACTTTATGTGCATCTATTTATTAAAAATATACCCGATACTTTAAGTTTATCATAGTTTATGAAGTCTTTCTTTATATACATTTACATACATAGTTATAAGGGTATTTCCCTTATAAGTCTTCCCTTATAAGTCTTATATTTTTTTAATATCGTTTAACCTTATATAACTGAACATTTCTGTATAAAATGAGAGAATGATATAATAATGATTAGTAATATATAGGATCAACATTTCCTTTACTACATCAAAATATAAAGTATCAACTGTTTCCTCTGTTGCCTCAAATAGTCTTAAAATGTCTAAAGGCCGATTATAACGTTAGACAGACAGATGCATTGACAAGCAACAACACCTTCTCGGCAAGTGGCATGAAATTTCATAAAGTGTTTTCTATATTTTGTGCTTCGTGATTTTATTCTAAATTCACGAGTTATTTTTAAAATATTTGAATTTTATTTCAAAATTTTTTTTTTAATTTATTTAAATGAAAATGTGTGTCTGTGTTGTTTTTTCTTAAATAATGCAGATGGAAGTGAAGATGTGCATGTTAGCAGGTTGTATATACAAATTGAAAAAGATTTTTAATAATTTTCTTTTTTAAGATTTAAAAAAAAAATGTTACAGAATTCATCATTAATGAAAAGTGTAAAAATGAAAAATTACAGTGCATTTTCTTTTTGAAATTTTATGGTATTCAATTAATTTTAATTACATTTAGAGGCGTTTGAATCGTGTCAGTGAAGGTGAATTTTTAATTAATGTAATGTGAAATTTTTAAATATAAATTTAAATCGTCAGTATCTAATTGCAAAATATTGTTAAGATCATTTCAAAGATCTTTCTTATCTAGAACCAAGTTTTTTGTAAAGTTAGATTCGTTAAACAAATCAAGAGTTTTTCTATGGAAAAGTTGTGATCTTGGCAAAGATCGTTTCCATATTGTAGATCTGATCTTGAAGAAAATAACAAAGTTGTGATCTTTATATTTCTATAGAAAATTTGTGACCTTCAAAAGATTTTTTTTGGTAGTTGTTATCTTGGCAAAGATCCTTTCTATATTGGAGTTCTTATCTTGATGAAAAATATAATATTGATAATCTTGACGAAGAACTTTTCTACAGAAAAGTTGGGTTCTTCAAAAAAAAAAAAACATTTCTGTAGAAAAGTTATGGTCTAAACAAAGCATTTTTCTATAGAAATGTTGTGATTTGGACAAATATTTTTTCTGAGGAAATGTTGTGATCTTGTCAATGAACTTTTCTATAGAACATTTGTGATCTTGTGAACTTAGTAATGAACTATTATTTAAAAAATTTGATTTTGAAAAATAAAAAGATGTGTTCTTGACAAAAAACTTTTCTATAGAAAAGATGTGATCTTGGCTAAGTCTTTTTCTATATGTTGTGATCTTGCCAATGATCTTTTCTATAGAAAATTTGTGATCTTGTTACTGCATTTTTCTACCAAAAAGTTGTGATCTAGAAAATTAACGTCTGCATAAAAAAGTTATGGTCAAAATAAAGAACTTTTCTATGGAAAAATTTTGATCTTGTCTAAAAAGTTTCTATAGAAGTGTTGTGTTGCCAATGAACTTTTCTATAGAAAATGTGTGATGTAGACAATGATCGTCTGTAAGAAAAAATCTCTAAACATCTGTATAAGAGTTATGGTCTAAACAAAGAACTCTTCTATAGAAAAGTAGTGATCTTGGAAAAGATTTTTTCTGTAGAAATATGTTATGATCTTGCCAATAAATTTTTCTATAAAAAATTTGTAACCTTGCAACTGAATTTTTTCTTTTCGGAAAACACTCATTGAGTCCAATTCCATTTAGTTCCGAAAATTTTGTAATCTTTCTTAATTTATTGCCTTAACACTCACCGTTGGATCGCAACACCTTTCACAAGAGCAAATAAATTGTTTTGTCATGGCCAAGAAAACCCTTCTAGCCAATGTACTCCACAGTAACTTAGCATAAGCCATAACAATTTCCTCACCCTTAGCTATGGGTCGAGCAGCTGTTAACACAATAGTTTCACCATCTTCAAAATGATGATTTGCATTCGGTGTACACTTGTGGTTTAGTAGACCGGCCAAAGGAAACAAAGCACGTACCAATACCTCATGGCCACCCACACAACTGCGGCCTTCAAATGCATTTGTATTATAAGCACAAATAGTACGATAGAAATAATCCAACATATCTGATTCCTTGGGAAAATATTCAAAACAATTGGAGGCATTTAAAACCTCTTTCATATAATATTTATCGGCGTTAGCTTGCAGGGCATAGAGTAATTTACGCTGTAATTCATTTAAACGGAAACAACGTATTATGGAAACTATACGCAAAGCATGACGATTGATTTTGGTAGTATCTTTAGGTTTCCATTTGCGAAATAACAAACACTCCATGGCATGTCTATCGGAGGTTATGCATTTATCACATACCGGCATTGTGCAACCATTTTTACACATTATTTCCTCATCACTGCCCTCGAGAAGACAATAACACACACAGCAGGTATTTAAAGTGGAGGACATATTGGCTGTAGGTCCCGCCAGTATGGCATGTTCACGCAAAATAACTTCACCCACGGCTATATCCCTGGTGGCAAATATACCTCTGCCAGATATGGGCGAATCCAAAACTTGCCATGCCGGATCTTTTTCTAAAAGTTCACCTAAATGCACATTTATCAATTCGGCCAATTCCTGCGTGGAAACACTTATAGACATGGACATTTTGATATTTATTGTTATTATTTTTTAATTTATTGGAATTTTATTTAAAATGCTTTGCGTAACAGTTATTTTTATATATATTTTTTTTCTTATTGTATTAAGCTTTTTTCCTTATACTCTAGTACACACGATCTTTAACTTGAACACATTTTTTCCCGACTACCGATACCGTTTAAATTCTATTGCCAACTAAAAAAACTATCACGACACATTACAAAAAAGTTAAAATTTCCTAAGAAAATCAAAATCACAACACAAATGATCTCTCGCTACTATGCTCGGCTAATAAAATAGATTCAACTCAACCAATTTTTATCGGCCAAAATAAACAGAAAAAAATACACAATAACAAAATCAAAGCAGATAAAACTAAATTCATTAAATTGTGTGGAAAAATAAAATATTTGGAAATAGTGGGAGGTAGTATTTGTTTAACATTTCGAGAAAATAAATGCACTCAAAAATAGTTTTTGATTTTAGAAAAAATTTGAATGAAAACTTTTTTTCTTTAAAACAATTTGATTAACCCATTAAGGAACTGTTAAGGGAAAATGCGGTAGCAAAGTTTTAGCAAAAGTTGTAAAAAAGAAGGTTTGTGATCTTGTGCACAAAACTTTTCTATAGAAAAGCTTGTGATCTTGTGCACAGAACTTTTCTATAGAACAGTTTGTTATCTTGTGAACAAACCTTTTTTATATAGAAAAGTTTTTCTATAGAAAAATTTGTGATCATGTGCCCAGAAGTTTTCTATAGAAAAGTTTGTGATCTTGTACAAAGTTTTTGATCTTGTGCACACAACTTTTATATAGAACAGTTTGTTATCTTGTGAAAAGTTTGTGATCTTGTGCACAGAACTTTTTTTTATAAAGTTTTCGATCTTTTGAACAAAGCTTTTCCATAGAAAAGTTTGTGATCTTGTGAACTGATTTTTTTGTATCTTGTGATCTTGTGAATATATCTTTTTATAGAAGAATTTTTGATCTCTTGAACAGAACTTTCTATGCAAAAGTTTTTGATCTTGTAAACTGAACTTTTCTACAGAAAAGTTTATAATCATGTACAAAGAAGTTTTCTGTAGAAAAGTTTGTGATCTTATGCAAAGTTTTTGATCCTGTGCACACAACTTTTCTATAGAACAGTTTGTTGTCTTATGAACAAACCTTTTCTATAGAAAAGTTTGTAATCTTGTGCACAGAACTTTTCTATACTATGTTTACGTTCTTTTGAACAAAACTTTTCTATAGAATTGTTTGTATTCTTGTGAATAGAACTTTTCTCCAAAAAGCTTAGGAACTTGTTTAAAAAAGTGAAAGCTCTTAAGTGATTAAACTATTTAATATTCATTTTAGTTATTTCAACAATTGTTTTAAAAAAATCCTAAAAAAATAAACACTTTTTATTTGTCTACCAAACAACAACAGTCTACACATTTTGTCAAAATATTTCAAAACTTTTGCCAGCAAGCAAGCTCACAACAATACACATGACATTGTCATTTACTCGAACAATTAATCAAGTAATCAAAGAGAAATGCGGCGACAAATTGTTTTAAAACAAGTACGATCGTACGATTTTTAAGTAAAACACCTAAAAGTATGCTGTCGTATAAACTTGAATAGAAAGGAAAGCTTTTTCAAAAACTTCATGGGGTTGTGGAATCCGATAAAAAGGTAAAGCTTTTGTTATAGTATAGATCATCATGGTCAGTTATTTATGCTTAAGAGCTTTTTTAGTTTATTGCTAAACTTTTCATATCGTTTTGAAATGAATAAAAAAGTTCTATTATATGTTTTCTATCAACCAGACAGATGATAAAATGTAAATTTGAAAATCTGTAAAAAGTTTTTCGAATCAAAAAAGGAATTGTTGCCCTGAAATTTAAATTTTTTAATTTAGATATTATTCATTTTTAAAGTATTTCTTTTTTTCTGAAAATTCGAAATTTTCTTGTGATTTTATTTTAACATACCAGAAAAAGCACCTCCACCTTTAACTTTGTAAACAAATTGTTGTCGTCGATTTTAATTAAAATATTTACATATTTATAATTATATTAATTATAAATTTCCTTATTTTATTTCTTATTTTTAATTTGTCGCTTTCTATCTATAATTATTATTGTTGTTGTTGCCAAATTTTATAAAATTATTTTGACAGTGCGTTAAAATTATACTTCATGCGTTAAATAATGTTGAGAAAAACAAACAAAACAAATAAATTTCAACAAAAAACTATTTTAAATATAAATGAAAATAACACAAAACTATTTGTTGTAATTTATTATTTAACTTGTCATAAATTGAAAGTGAAAATTCTATATTTTCATATCTAAATGCGATTAATGTCGTCTTTCTTGACTTTATAACAAATAAAAACAAAATATTGTTTGGCTCTTTTAAACATCTATTTTCTAATTTTCTAGTTATTAAGTTTGTCTGCTACTTAAGTTTTGTAGTTTTTTTTTTGGTTATTTTGCACATTTTAAAAAGATTTTAACCAGAGCATGTAATAAATAATATTTTTAATTAGACATAAAGATTTGCTTCCATTCAAAAATTTGCCTAGATTTTAAGAGAAAAATATATATATTTTTTTTTAATTTTAAAATTTTGTTATTTTAGTTTATTTTTTCGAATTTTTCTTTATATTTATTATTATTGTTTTTATAATTTTAAATGGTTTTGTAAGCGAACTGATGTAAAACAGATAATTTTTTCGTGTGTTTTTGCTAAAATTATTCTTGATCGAACGCAATTTTAACGATTTTTCTTGATTTGTTTAAACTGGCAGCAGAAAGGTGTTTGATAATGAACTTGTATTTTGTTTGTTAAATAAATATATTTAAGTTGTAATAGGAAAACAATCACCGCAAAAAGTTTCTTGGTTTCGTATAAGAAATTTCTAGTCAAAAGACTAGTCCACAGATAAGCCAAAAAGGTAGTCAACAGTAGACCACTAGTCAACAGAGTAGTTCATACTCTAGTCAAAGTACAAAGTACATTATTTATAGTGTGTGACTCAAAAGACTATTCTATAAACTATTGGAAAGACTAGTCCATAGAGTAGTCAATAGATTATTCCATAGACTAGTCCATAAATTGGCCAATAGATTATTCCATAGACAGGTCCCCAATAGTCCATATACCACCCAATAAACTAGTCCATAGACAAGCCAATAGACAAGTTCATACACTGGTCAATAGACTATTCCATAAACTATTGACTAGACTGGTCCATAGACTAGTCAATAGATTAGTCATGTACTAGTCAATAGACTAGTTCATAAACTGGCCAATAGATTATTCCATAGACTAGCCCATAGACCACACAATAAACTAGTCCATAGACAAGCTAATAGACAAGTCCATAGACTGGTCATTAGACTAGTACACAGTTAATAGACTAGTCCTAGACTGATAAATACACTAGTACGTAGACTAGTCCAAAGACTGATCCATAGCCTGGTCAACAACAAAATTATTAATAGAGAAGTATATTAACTAGTGAATATACTAATCAATAGACTTGTCAACAGACTAGTCTACAGACTATTGTATAGTCTGGTCAATAGAAGAAACTGGTCATTAGACTAGTCCAAGTACATAGTTATTCGTAGTGTGAGTAGTTAATAAACAAGTCCATAAACTAGTCAAAACACTATTCTATAAACTATTGAATCCATCCAATAAACTAGTCCATAGACAAATCCATAGACTGGCCAATAGACTATTCTATAAACTATTGAATAGACTGGTCCATAGACTAGTTAATAGCTTATTCCAAAGACTAGCCCATAGACCACCCAATAAACTAGTATATAGATTGTTCAATAGACTAGTCCATAAACTGGTCATTAGACTATGTGTTCCATAGACTGGTCATTAGACTAGTACACAGGTAATAGACTAGTCCATAGACTGATCAATATACTAGCCCAAAGACTAGTCCGTAGACTGGTCCGGAGCCTGCTGAACAGATTAGTCTGACTAATTAGTAAATAGAGTAGTCTACGGACTATTGTATAGGATGGTCAATAGACTAGACTGGTCGTTAGACTAGTCCATAGGCTAGACCAGAGACTAGTCCATAGGCTAGACCAGATACTAGTCCATAGGCTAGAGCAGAGACTAGTCCATAGGCAAGACCAGATACTAGTCCATAGACTAATCAACAGAGTAGTCTATAGAATATTGATTAGACTAGTTCATAGAGTAGTCAATATACTAGTGAACATACTAGTCAACAAATTAGTCCATAACTATTTAGTCAATATTGACCAACGAGTATACTAGTCAATAGACTAGTCCATAGACTAGTTAACAGACTAGTCTTTGGACTATTGAATAGTCTGATAAATAGACTATTGATTAGACTATCAATAGACTAGTCCATAGACTGGTCATAGACTAATCATAGACTAATCATAGACTAATCCATAGACTAGTCCATAGACTAATCATAGACTAGTCCATAGACTTGTCAATATACTAGTCCGTAGACTGAACTAATCAAAAGACTAGTTCATAAACCATAGACTAGTCCATATAAAAGTCAGCAGATTACTTCATAGAATAGTCAATAGATTTGTCAACACATTAGTCAACAGATTACTTTATAGAGTACTCAATAGATTTGTCAACGCACTAGTCAATGGAGTAAGCTATAGGCAAGTATATGACTAGTTCCAATTCGAAAATCACCCCCACTTTTAAAACAAAACAACAACAAACAAATATAAACGCTGTGCGCCATTAATAGGCATCAAAATTTCCTAAACAAATTATAGTATTTATAGCAAGTGGCAGTTTAACGATATTTCCTATTAATATTGACACAAACAAAAAATTCTAATTGAAACAATTAGAAAATGATATTTAAATTGTAGTAGTGATGGCAGCCTCTTAAAAAGATAGCCGCAGAGCAAAAGAAAATTATTTGCTAATTTAAATTATTTTTTAAAAATTATTTATTATAGTTGGCACTTAAAGCATATAGACAGACACATGTTTTTAAAGCAAACAAAATAAAAGGAAACACACAAATTTGTGTAAAATTTCAACAATGTTTAAAACAATTTGTTAAATTAAATATTTGTAAAATGTAATTTATTATAATACAAAATAAAACAAAATATGTATTTTTATAGGTTTGCTAACACAACACTTTCTTTTAACAAAATTTAGAACATTTTTAAGGTTTTCTTTATTAAATACTTTTATAGAATATTTTTATAATATA